AAAAAAAAAAAAAAAAAAAAAAAAAAAAAAAAAAAAAAAAAAAAAAAAAAAAAAAAAAAAAAAAAAAAAAAAAAAAAAAAAAAAAAAAAAAAAAATGCCACCCCATACCAATTCCAATTTCTGAAACAAGGTTGCATTGCATTATAAACCACATTCTTAAAGGCACGCGGAAGTAGTTGGCAGGTGTAGACGTTGGGTAATTGTATTAATTCGGAGTGCTGGACATTGGCAATACCGCACATCAGCAGGTGAATTTTGCGTTGAGCACGCCAAAATTGTTTACATTATAATAAATAAAATATATAAGATTTTAGTGATATATTAACGACATTTTTACATATGTGGCTAAAATGAAGTATTGTCGTTGTATGTGTGGTGAAATATGGGCGATTTGTGCGTTTGTGTGTGTGTATTAAGTGAATAAAAAAGGTGGTATTGTGAAAAAGTTTTTTCTTAATAACTTTTGATCGGGTAAAAAAGTTAATTTCCACTTTCGGATTCTTGTTACTGGGGTGCGGACACGTCTAATGGTACCCCCTTTCCTAAATTTTGATGAATTTTAGGGGTTGAAAGCCCACCTAGATAATTACCGAAAATATTCTTATTTTGTACGAACAATTTACAGATAATGCCTTCCATAATTTTTTACAAATTTCCAATTTTATTTGTTTTTGTTATTTTTATGGCCTTATAACAATTATATTCAACAATTTTTATGAGCTCGAGGCCGTATTAAATGCACTTATTGTGAAAAGCAACAATAACTTGAAAAAATGGTAGAAGTGATAGCTATTTCGGAAATCACCACATTTCCTCATCAGACTTCTTTCAGTAGGATTCGAACCGACGATCACCACTGACTCAGCCAGTTGCCTACGCACTGTGCTAAGTTTGTCTTGTTAATTCTTGTTGCTTATTTTCCACTATTTCACTTTGCTAAGCCAACTACAATCAAGCGCAGCTATTCCGCTGCAATTCACTTGATCATGTGGTTGTTGGTTTTGTTGGTTTTTGTTAATATTTCTATTATTAGAATGTTTTACTTTTAGGTGTGCTCGTCCTTAAGTTATTTGTTTTTGTTATTTTTATGGCCTTATAACAATTATATTCAACAATTCTTATGAGCTCGAGGCCGTATTAAATGCAAACTTATTGTGGAAAAGCAACAATAATTTGAAAAAATGGTGGAAGTGATAGCTATTTCAGAAATCACCCCATTTCCTCATCAGACTTCTTTCAGTAGGATTTGTATAAGAATAAAACGTCCTTGTTGCTTCAATACAATTTCGCTACTAAATTTTTTAAGCCATAACCAGATCTGGTCTACCTAGGCGAACAAATCTCATATACATCTATATGTACAATGTATATACGTATTCTCAACATTAAAATGGGTAGCGGTAGTTCAAATAGAATCACGCCTTATTTTACCAAACGGCACATATCTGCATTATATGCGTATGTATATATGTGCATATTTAGAAAGAAGAATCCACAAACAGTAACTCTCAGCAAAGGCTGTGCGTACATATGTACGTGCATACATATTTCTGTATGAGGGTGGTTCGCAAAGACTGTTCAAGGCGATTCGTTGGCGTTAGGAAGGTGGTTCGAAGATATCGCTTGCCATAATTTCATACATCCTGCCCGGCTGAACCCTCGTGGTTCAGTATATCTTCATCGGGCCCAGTAAGGCGGCATACGTTCTGAACGGGCCGCTGACAAGTGTGTTTGACGAGATGTCCATCCGACGTCTTCTGGCCGCTGTGGTATTCCACCGTAACAACTCGAACGAGGCCATCACTGCCTGGATGGACAGCGGCTATACGTCCGATGCGCCAATGGGCAGGCGGCAAGTTTTCGTTGAGGATTAGCACAACATCATCACAGCGGAGATTGGGTTCTGAGCGTGTCCATTTACTCCGTGACTGCAACGACATCAGATACTCGTGCTGCCAGCGATTCCAAAAGTGTTCGTACATACGTTGAATACGCTCCCAGTATTGCAGACGATTGTCTGGCACGTCACGTATAACCGGCTCTGTTCGGGAAATCAGCGGACGGCCTACCAAAAAATCACCAGGTGTGATGCCTAGCCCGCCATCGGGATCATCATGTAACGCAACGAGCGGTCGGGAGTTCAAGCATGCCTCAATACGTACTAAAAGCGTGCTTATTTCGTTAAATCGCAAGGTCTGCCTACCTAGAACTCGATATAAATGTTTCTTGGCTGAACGAACGGCAGCTTCCCAGAGCCCACCGTGATGGGATGCAGATGGTGGGATAAATTGCCAGTGCGTTCCTACCTTGGCTACGTGTTGCTGCGCGTACGTATCTAGCCACTGCTCTAGATTTAGTTTCATCAGGCGGCTGGCCCCGACAAACTGCGTGCCGTTATCGCTATAGAGGACGCTGCATGCTCCACGACAACTTATGAATCTATCGAAGACATCGATGAAGGCCCGCGTAGACAAGTCTTCCGCCAGCTCGATATGTACCGCCTTCGTGGCCATGCAGACGAAGAAAGCTGCATATGTCTTTGTTGTGATATTTGACCGACGTCCGCCAAGACGGACGTGGAACGGTCCACAGTAGTCCAGCCCAGTGCGAAAGAAGGGAGGAGAAACAAGTACTCTGGAACCCGGAAGCGAAGCCATCTGTTGTTGCTGATGTATATGTGACTTAACCACAGCTCGCGCATGTAAAATCCAAACTTGACGGCGAAGGTACTGGAGCATCTGCTGTATACCACCATGCATGCATACCGCAATGAGTAGTTCAGTCAGCGGGTAATTCTTCGGGAGGATCATCGGATGACGCTGGTCATATGGAAGTTGCGCAAGTTCCAGGCGTCCCCCTACACGGAGGATTCGATCTTCATCCAGAAAGGGATTCAACGGGAGTAGCTTGCTTGATGAATGTACGCTGGAACGGGATTCTAGAGAATTAATTTCGGTAAGGAATGCGTTACCTTGTGATTGTTTTATATGCACGCGAAGAGCCCAACGTAGTTCGCCTGTAGTCAATACATCATATCGATGACCCTGGAAGACTGGCCGTATTCTGCGAATGCGCACCGTGATGTTCACTAGTCGACTCAATCGGCTGCACCTTTTCACTAAGGGTATGAGTTTATTGTCGTATGAAGTCATTATAAATGGCGGTTTCGACCCCACGCCAAGTAGAATTTGAGGCCCGCGACCTTCATCCAGTACCACTTGTTCTTCTGCTGTTGTCAGCTCGGGCATCGTTGTTACGCAGGTAGGTGTCTAACGAATACATGACGGCCCAGACTACCAAAGCGAATGCCCCTCCAGAGCGGAAGGAGCCACTCCTCGGCTTGCACAATCCGCAGGATTGGATTCTGAGCGTATATGGTTCCAGCAGTTCACTTTGGAGGTTTTCTTAATGAACGCCACACGATTTGCAACAAACGGCTTTAATGTTGATGGCGGCTTGCGTATCCAGTGAAGGACGATGGCCGCATCACTCCAAAGGAGATATTGTTAGGCAAGTCCAATATGCGTTGTATGTGAACTTGCGACAGTAACATAGGGTTCTCATAGCGGCGTTTAAGCTCTGACCATACCTCTACATAACCACCAGTGTACAGTCCTCCGATCATGGGAACCTTTTCCGCCTTTACGTATTGGCGCAACTTACCGAGTTTGTATGTCGGATCGAGGTCACTACGGTCATGCACAAGGCTCTCGAACATGTCCTTAACACCAGCCAATTCGAAAGTTGGCCATCAAATTCTGGTATGGAAATGGGTTCTAACCTCAAATCGCATGTGCGATGATGGGTAGAAACTACTTCTGGAACTCGCTCAGGTCTCAGATGAGAACGCATTTGGCGCTGGCGAAGACAAGCCTTTGTGAACCTCTCCTCCGTCTCTGCGAACAGCTCATCATGCGCTTCTACCTCAGCAGGTAATGATGCGGCAACGAGGCAATAGTGGTGTTCCACAAAACGGTCCCAATATTGCTGCAGCATTTGACTAGTGTAGTCCACTTCCACCAGGTCAGGTGAAAAGTCTGCCGCCTGCACCGTACCAAGAACCCGCGTGATAGATGCTCGAGCAGATGTTCGAATATTTAAATATGACATGGCGAAAATATGAGTTCCTCACAGGAGGCACAAGATTTATGTATAAGAATAAAACGTCCTTGTTGCTTCAATACAGTTTCGCTACTATATTTATTAAGCCATAACCAGATCTGCTCTACCTAGGCGAACAAATCTCATATACATCTATTTGTACAATGAATATACGTATTCTCAACATTAAAATGGGTAGCGGTAGTTCAAATAGAATCCCGCGTTATTTTACCAAACGGCACATATCTGCATTATATGCGTATGTATATATGTACATATTTAGAAAGAAGAATCCACAAACAGTAACTCTCAGCAAAGGCTGTGCGTACATATGTACGTGCATACATATTTCTGTATGAGGGTGGTTCGCAAAGACTGTTCAAGGCGATTCGTTATCGGCAGGAAGGTGGTTCGAAGATATCTTCTTCTTCTTCTTTTTTGGCGCTGTAACCGCCTAAGCGATTTTGGCCGAGTTCAGCAAAGCACGCCAGTCGTTTCTCCTCTGTGCCAGCTGACGCCAATTGGAAACGCCAAGTGAAGCCAAGTCCTTCTCCACCTGATATTTCCATCGCAGAGGGGGCCTCCCTCTTCCTCTGCTACCACCAGCGGGTTCCGAGTTGAATACTTTCAGAGCTGGAGCGTTGGTGTCCATTCGAACAACATGACCAAGCCAGCGGAGCCGCTGTATTTTAATTCGCTGCACTATGTCCATATCGTTGTAAAGCTCATACAGCTCATCGTTCCATCGTCTGCGGTACTCGCCGTCGCCAACGCGTAAAGGACCGTAAATCTTCCGCAAAATCTTTCTCTCAAACACCCCAAGAGCCGCCTCATCGGATGTTGTCATTGTCCATGCTTCTGCGCCATATACCAGCACGGGCATGATGAGTGACTTATAGAGCGTGGTTTTCGTACGTCGAGAGAGGACTTTACTCCTGAATTGCCTACTCAGTCCAAAGTAGCACTTGTTGGCAAGAGTGATTCTACGTTGGATTTCAATGCTGACATTATTATCGGTGTTAATGCTGGTTCCCAAGTAAACGAAATTCTCTACTTTCTCGAAATTGTAGCTGTCAACAGTGACGTGGGTGCCAAGGCGCGAATGTGCTGACTGTTTCTTTGATGACAGGAGATACTTCGTCTTGTCCTCGTTTACCACCAGACCCATGCGCTTGCTTCCCTATCCAACTTGGAAAAGGCAGAACAGACTTCGCGGATATCGCTTGCCATAATTTCATACAGGATTCGAACCGACGATCACCACTGACTCAGCCAGTTGCCTACGCACTGTGCTAAGTTTGTCTTGTTAATTCTTGTTGCTTATTTTCCACTATTTCACTTTGCTAAGCCAACTACAATCAAGCGCAGCTATTCCGCTGCAATTCACTTGATCATGTGGTTGTTGGTTTTGTTGGTTTTTGTTAATATTTCTATTACTAGAATGTTTAACTTTTAGGTGAGCTCGTCCTTAAGTTATTTGTTTTGTTTTGCATTTAATACGGCCTCGAGCTCATAAAAATTGTTGAATTTCCAATTTTAATTTAAATATTTTCAATTTGTTTTGGAGGGTTTTAAGCACCGAGAGCGAAGGCAATGCGAATACAATTTCGATGTTCGCATTATGGGAGTACAGTATGTACTGACGAAATGTATGGATCGCGTTTTGAAAATGCTACACGTTTAATATTTATTGACGGTTTTGCGATCCGCGACCCATATTTCCAAATTCTTAGAAATTTTGATCCATCAATATTGCATGCTACACCGTCAATAAATATCGCGATACTTGGATCACATCAATAAATACTGGCCGTGAGAAAGGGCTCAATAATACAAGTTGTTATCGGTTGGCAGCTCCTCGCTCTAATTCCGCCATATTGGCTGCCTTAGGTGAAACAGTGTTTCTTCTTTAACAATTCTTTGCCTAATAACATAGTTGAATTTTTATTTATTTTTCTCAGTATACACATTTTGTTTTCTCAAGAAGGTCTTTTGTCTTATTTTATTTCAAAGCCAATTTTGTTTAGAAGAAAATATGAAATTTTATATTTTCCCCCCAAATGGGGATTCATTTCTTCCCGTTTTTCTTCTTATTCTACTGAGCTAAGGCAGTGTCAAATCGAGCTGGCACAACTGATACCACCTTGTATTATTGCATCATGGGCAACCAGCTGATTTCGAAGATGATTTCGCTCTCCTCTTATTCTTTCGACTCGATCGTAACTCAGAATACCAAATTACGATTGTAGCGGAGCGGAATGCGGGAACGTAATCGAAATGCAGAATAGGGCAGCACAATATAATAATATGCATTATTAATAGCAATAATAATTCTTAGTTACCTTATTGTTGTCATTAAATGCAAATGAAAGCGCACGAGAAAAGATACATGTAGACAGCTGATTGCCAAAGCGTGCAAAAGTTGAGAGTTACCCATGATTTTGCTTCGCTTTGCTTTCCTCGCATTCTATTTAAAAAGACTCATATAAAATCATGTATTGAACTTATCTGTCAAAGCGGAATTATGAAGCGAAGCTAAACAAAACACCCATGAGACAACTACACAAGATCTGAGAAGATGAAGCAAAAGAAAAAAGTAATTATCTGTCTGACGTTTGTAATTCCGGAGCCATGTTATTTTCTTTGAAAAGTAAACAAAGAATATGAAGACGAAGCATAAAGAAAAAAAATGCAAGTAACTTTGTAGCACATGTGTGGGCTAACCAATTTATTATTTTTGTAGGTGTTTTTGCAACCAATCACCGCGCACTTCATTTTCATTACATTCGCACAAAAATTTTTTGAAAATCGCCGACAAAATACACTTAAAGAAAGAAGCAAAACAGAAATAGCAAACTCCAAAATTACGAACGTCATACACTTTTTTCTTAATTGCTTTTTTTCTCAATTGCAAATGACTGCTTCTCAGCAGGTCAGATCTGTTCTAATTGGTTCATGCAAAACATCCCTATTGCGAACATTCCCACGACAGCGGGTTCTACGTGCTGGAATGACCCGGCGTTTACCCGACCAAGGGCTGTTGTTTCGCCGATCTAACCCCGTTAAGGTCGGCGAAGTATATCAGAAGTTGTTCGTCCATACGGCTACATTTGCAACGTATTCTTGTGCTCAGGGCTGGCATCGAGTCAAACCCAGGGCCACCACATCATTTGTGGCCCCCTGCTGCTCAAACAGAGCAGCCTTCACGGCTAACCCCAGTCCAACTGAGCAGCTCAACACAAACACCACAGCACCACAACACAATAGACCACACCACAACCACTACAGAGCACACAACAGACACAACCGCACCACCACCCACACGCCGCCGGCAACAACTCTTGGTTCCTCCTACAATCTGCACGGTAACGTGACATCAGTCAAGTGCAACACCTGCCTTGGCTGGTGCCAC